GGAGCCCCGCACTCAAGCTGCGCAGAGCGTCAGTAATATTGCGCACTACTCACCCCCCCCCCTTTTTTTTTTCAAGGACGGACACTAACATTTCTTGCTTTGCTTTGCCCACTGTTCGTGGTAATCGTAATGTTTGGGCGTTGAGAGGACTTTATTTGTGTGAAAACGGCGTGGGAAGAAAATGACTTGAGCGGAAGGGGCTAATTCCAGCACCGCATGCATGCATGCGTCGGCTGATGCGGGCAGGACGAGGGACAAGTGGTATACTCTAACGGGAGCGGGAGCAGGTGGGTGCCTGTCCCGCTGATGGACAGGGACGACTGCACTTGCTGCCGAATTTATTACACATGGGCTTTATCTTCCTTTCTTTTTCTTTTGTCCTTTTTTGTTTGTGTGGGTGTGAAATGGAGAAGACGGTTATGGTGGTGAAGTTTGCTTATGCTTCGGCATGCAGTAGATAATGTTTTGTCTTTTTTTATATGGTTAATCCTGTTTTTGTTACTGCTGCTGCTGGTTTGGTTTGTGTTTATTGTGATGGATTTTAGTTTCTCTACTGCGTTGCGTTGAATGGGTACTGTTGACTGTGTTTTCCCTCTCTGCTTCTCTAGAGCGTGAGGGGGGAATGTACACAGAGTGGCTTTCGTGGTACTTCTGGTGGATTTGGGGACAGCGCAGAGTGAAATAGCTGCTTGTGGCACTCTGCGGGTGTTGCTGCTTTTGTTGTTGTTGTTTTATTTTTATTGCCGAACCCCTGTTGCCGCCCTGCACTCCGGGTGGTGTTTCTCCTCTATTGCACCCAACGCTGCGTTGTGGTTTGCGCCGCCTTTTTTTTTCTCCTCTCTGTTCGGTTTGGGGGCATGCTTCCCGTGTATCCCCTTGACGCTCTGCAGCGCACGAGGCGAAGAAGGCAGCGAGAGGTACGGCGTAGGTGGAAAGGAAGGTGCGTGTGGGAAGGGCACAAGGAGAAATGTCAAAGCGCATGGTGCCTGCCGCGGCGGAGGTGCAGGGCGGTGAGGGGGCCGCCGAGTCTCGCGAGCACACCGCTTCGCAGCCCCACGGCGAGGAAGGCGATGAAATGTGCTCCGTCACATCGGGCGATACCAGGCATAGCAGGCCCACTGGAAAGTCCCCGCAGACTGTGGGGACGCGCGGCGTTCGAGCACCCGCGGCACCGTCGCCCAGCCGCACCGCTGCCACTGGGCAGAGGAGGACAGTAGAAGGCTCTGTATCTCGTCTGTTGCACGCCGTGGGTGGGTTCACTTCTCTGCTTGGCGGCACGGAGTTTCTATGCGTCTTCCTTGCAGTGTGTGGAATCAACTGCTTCTTCATGATTCTGGCAACGGCTCTTTCGCAGCTGGACGTGGTGGGCGGTGGGTGTTACACCTTTTGGGGCTACAAGAAGAGCTGTGACACGGTGAGCTACTCCATCCGCACGCAGCTCTTGACCTGCAAGGCACTGAGGCAACGGTTACAAACAGGGGCAGCTTTTTCAATATTTTCAATCATATTAATGAGTGCTGTGATCTTCTTCGCCCTAAAGGCGCTCATGGGCTGCCGCGCCGAGGGCAGGAAACGCAAGTATGCCGCAACCTCCGCCAGTGGGGACGAACGTGGCCGCCAGCAGAACCGTGATGTAACGGTGCCGCCTGCTTCCAAGTGGCGCATCGTTGGGCTCTCAGCCGCTGCGCTGCTGTGCGAGGTGGTCTGCTGGGCAATGTCAGTCAGCATCCACACCTCCCGCTACTGCGAGGACAATACCCTGCCCCGCAAGACCGCGTATGGCGTAGGCTTTGGACTGTTGATGACTGGGTGGAATGCGGGAGTCATCGTATTGGTATTGTTTCTTATTGCTGTGTAACACACTACCTCCAATAAGTGGGAAAAAAAGAAAAAGACCAAGGTCACTCAGTCTTGACGCCTTTCCTCCTCCCTTCCTGTACTATTTTTACCTTCACCGTCGTTCTTCCTGCGAAGAGCGTGTTGGTTACATTTGATGCACACAACGCCAGCACTATGGAACCACAACGATGACACAATTACTCCCCTACACGAATCTGTGAGAAAAAATGGACCTACCAGCATTCCTCTGTACGTTCACCAATAGACTTCGGGGCAACGTGCGCATGTGAGTGCGTCCCGCTAACGCTGCCGCTGCTCGGCGCGGCTGCCCCGCCGTCTCTCGGCCCCCTCCCCCGCTGCCCGCGTGTGCGTGTTTGTGTGTGTGCGTGCCGTGCACCTGCTCGTGCCTTTCTCCCTCCGCCTGCCGCGTGCCCCGCTGCGCCCGCCCGGTGCCGGCCTGCGGGGGCGTCTAGACCGCGATCCACAAGCGACCCCCACGAAGGCCCAAGCGACAATGATGCTGCGCCGCCTCCTCTGCGTGTTTCTTCTCGCCCTCTGCTGCGCCTGCGCGTTCGCCGCGGCACAGGATGAAGAGACCACGACGACGACGACGACGCAGGCCCCTGCTGAGACCACGACGACGACGACGAAGGCGCCCAGCGGCGACGGGAGCAGCCTGGGCGGCCCTGCGTGGGTGCAGGTCGCCGCTGCTGCTGCTCGGCGCGGTGGCGGCCGCCGTGGCCGCGTGCT